TTTTGGAGAAAATGAAAGAGGAAGCAGAGAGGCACGGTGGAAAGGACACTGCTAGGCTTACAGCTGGATGCACAGTCTTGGAAGGAGTTCCATACCATGAGGAAAACTCTTTTGAGAGGACTGGAGTCATGGATGACTCATGCCAGAGCAGGGACACCCCTGAGGGTACTACAACACATAAAGTAACCCATACCAGAACAGAGGAGCCATAGAAAACAAGGAACTGTAGACGTGTACTGTTTTTGAGTGGCAAAGTTTTGGTAGCAAGGGGAGGCCATAGGAGTAGCTTCTGTGAGAGGCTGCAAGAAGCTTCCCCCATGTCCAGCCAGCTCAAAGGTGGACCTGCCACTGGGCAAGGTCGAGACCATAGGAGACAGCAGTAGTACCTCTGGGCTAATGTATTTAAGATGGGGAAAAAGAACCCTGTGGCACAAACAATAACAGTGAGAGAGAGGAGAGCAAATGTATGAAATCAAGAGTTCTGCAGACACCAAGGCAAGTGAAGAAAGGGCAATATGTGCTCCAGACACTGGAGCAGAATTTACCTAGCAGCCCATGGTGATGAAGATTGTTGCTGTGCAGCCACAGTGGAGCAGATCTCTACCAGAAACCCACTGAAGACTCCATGCCAAAACACGAAGTAGGTCAGGGTGAGGAATGTCAGAGATAATGTGTGATGAAGTGACCATAACCTCCATCCCCTGCACTTCTGTAGGAGGAGGGGTAGAGAATTTAGGAGTGAGGATGAGCCCAGAAAGAAGGAGGAATGGGAGAAAGGGTTTTAAGATTCAAGTTTTATTTTTCATTTTCTTACTCTGGTTTGATTTGTAACAAATTAAATTAATTTTTCCCAACCTCAAGCCTATTTTGACCATGAGATTAATGTGCAAGTGATCTTTCTGTGTCCTTACTTCAAACCATGATTTCTTTTATAATTTTTCCTTCTCTTTCCAGCTGAGGAGGGGAGCAATAGAGCAGATTTGCTGGGCACCTACTGTCTAGCAAGGATCAACTCACCACAGGAGGAAAATAAGTAGGAAGGATTTAACAGCAGAAGGATACAACTAGGTCTGGAGTCCAACTTCCTGTACTGCCCATCATCTCAACAAAGGCATTGAGGGGCAGAGTGTAACACACTCTGATAAGAGATTTTTATCAATTTGGGACAAACATAGTAAGAGAACATGTTAGGAAATAGAAAAATGCCACTTTTATCATCCAGGCTTTGGAAGACAGGGAAATAAATTTAAAAAAAAAATTAAAAAAATAAAAGCCAGTCTTTTTTCTACAAAAGGACTTCACTTGGAATAATGAATTAATAAAGATCATGAACTTGCTATATTAATTCCTGCATTATAGAGTGGTGGGATTTCAATGTAAAGTGGGATATTGAAATAGAAGTGGAATTTCTGGTTGGACTCTGAAATAACTTATAGGTCCTCAGTATTACACATAACTCACAAACTGTACATAGAGAGGTTCTGCGGAAGAACGTTAATAACTCTTTAAAATAGAACTATTCATTATCGTTTATAAATTTTTCTAAATTTATTTATAATTTCTTTACAACTTTTTTTCATAAAGAAAAATAAAACCCAGAGACTGAATCTTTCTCTTAATTTTCACAAACCTGCAGTAAAAAAAGCCTACAACATTTGTTTGATTTAATCATTGTACTATCTTTCTTCCAACATATTACTGTGAATAAAGTAAGACTTTTTTTCAGAGCTTTTGATAGCAACTAGTTACCTTCCATTTTTTAGAACGAGTTAAAAACAATTCCTCTGATTTCTAATGAACAATGAAGAATCTTTTTCTATGGATTTTTTTTTTATTCAATGTGGATTAAAAAATCTTGTGCATAGCTGCAGGTATTTAACTTAAAAGCTGTTTTAATCAAGAAGCTGCAAGCCGTCATTTACATTCAGAACCACTCCTAATAATAGTTTGAGAGCCATTGTGAAATCGTAAGTTATTTGGTCAAAGTAAATGACTTTTATAAAAATAAATGCTTGTCAGAGATGAACAACAATGGTGTATCATTGATTCTAATGCCATAAAAGAAAATATGAAGGAAGACAATAACAGGAAATTGCAACAAAGACTTGTGAGTTCTGTACTTTTCTTCCCCATCAGTAATCAAAGGAGGAAAAGAGTCTTAGGCCTTAAAGCTACACATAATATTTAAAACTCAGCCTTCCAGTAGCTGAAGTACTAAAGCTATTCTTGTTCATCCTATAGCAAAGAACACAAGGTAAAATTTTGAGAATAATTAGGTGAGGTTATGGCATATTTTAAGTCTATTTTAAAGGCATTAGTGTACATTTTAGAGTATAAATTTGAAAAAAAAATTCTTAGAAGTCGAGATATCATTACCATTCAATGAGATTTAAGGTAGATTTTCAAGGACACACTTTAATTTCCATGGTATTTATTTTTTTTTTGCAGTGCAGAGATCATGAAATCCAAATTTTTGAAACATTTAATCTCTCATAAACTAGCTATCCGTCTCTTTCATTAGTCAATAGAAAAGAGAATGAACTTACTACAATTTGTCTTTGATGAAAAATAAGGACTGGTTTTCTAGTTTTTACTTCAAAAAGAGTGAAAATTGGAACAACAAAATTATATTAGCTGCCTTGAAAAAATGTAGAGGCAATGATAAGCTAGATAAGAACAATTTAAAATAAAATCTACATGCCAGGTTTTTCTTTTACATTCTGACTTACATGTGTTTATAACAGCATTGACTATAAAGAAGAGGAGAAAGTAACTTTTTAAAAATACTTTTCAAGAACACTGAAAGATTTTAATGAAACATTTAATAAGAATTGAGTTTCGAAATTAAAATAAGTCTAACAATAACAGAAGGTTAAAATGTATTGTGACATTCACAGTCTTTTGAATCCCACAAAAAGCTGTGCATGCACACACATAGATATGACAATTTTATCGCTACTTCTGCTCAACACCTGATAAAACATACCTGCATATGATACTTTATTTGCATATGATCTTTTGTACTGTCATGTCCTTCATTTAGTGGAATCTGCCTTTTCATAAGATAAATTATATTCCATGAGAAAATATTAACGTACAATCCATTTTCAATTCTTACAACAGATTAATTTTTCCCAATTTATGTTAATATGTATTATTTTTCTGATTATACGCTCTGCTAAAAAAGCAACATCAGAGAGTGGTTGTTTTCTTTTTTTGCCAGGACCTGAGTATTTGTGAGTTCTCTTATAGATAGAGGAAAGGTTCTGACTGCAGATTATTATTTTTCATATATTGCTTGCCAGCTCTTCTTTCCTGTATATGATATGGTTCTTCCCTAATAAGATTTTAGGATTGTATCTTAAGTAGAGAGATGCTATTTACAGAGCTATCATTTCAGATCAGAATTATGCAGGACTGTGACTGTAATCAAAATACAGCCCTGAAGGGTTTGCTTTCTTCCTGGTCTCCCTAATGATTTTGCTTCTTATACTGACAGTGGTTCTTTGAGTCATGACCTTTAATACCCTATATTTTCAATATTATGTATGCCTTCTACCAAGAAAACCACTTACAGCCTTTAGTGGATCACAAAGCTTTCTGAAGACCTGACATTTCCTTTTTCTTGCTAATATAGATCATTGGTAACTTCACAGAACAGTAAATGCTACGTTACACTCAAACTAGAGTGAAAGCAGACTCAAACAAAAACACTCTTTAGAGATTCTTATCACCTACTTTATATCAGAAATCAAATCATGCCCAGCCTCTAGCATTTGAAACCATTAAATAGCTAGTGGGATTTTCCGTAACAGTAGGACCTTTAACCGCAGTGTCCTGGACAAATTCCAACACAAGTAATTACTCTGTGCCAGTAAATCGCCCTGCGTTTTATCTGGACACTCCATTTCTTTTTCTTCTAGTAAAACATTGTGAGGTTTACTGTGTATCGTTTAACAGGTGCTGAGTTTTATCTAAAGTGTCTTCATTGCAAGGATGTGTGAAATTATCTCTATAAGATGCAGTAAGGGCTTTGCATATGAATTTTGAATGGAATTTGATACCCTTTATATTAAACATTATATGATAACATGTGATTTGTTACATCATTATATAATGTAACTTTTAAAATATTTTATTTTTATATTTATGCAGATGAGTACTAAAGAAACACAAGTATCTTAACTGTAAGTAGAATGTATTAAACTGTTCTTCAGCAATCATTTTACTAATTTTGAATTGCATTGGGCCAACCATTTTTTTCCTCTGCATAACTTCTTAACAATATTCTTGTTTTATGGTATAATAAAGATACTGCCTGAATAATTTTACTTATAGAAAATATGAGTGCTTACATGCTAGAGTGGGTAGTATCTTAAGGAGAAGCTCACTTTCTCATTTTAGAGACTGGCATTCAGCTTCCTGCTTATTTTGAACTAGAGTAAGGGCTTAATCTCTTCTCACTTTATCTCTTAAACTGCTCAGTTTGCTCAGTTATTTAAGTTCTGGGTATTAGTTGCTCAATTCTGAGTTGAAATCTTTGCCCCTGCAAAAAGCCTTGAGCGGGTAAAATTCTAAGGTCTACTATTTTAGAATATTTTAGGGTTCGGGTTTTTTTTTTTTTGCTTATTTTTTTCATTTTTCTGTAGCCAGCTTTTTTCTCACTATTGGAATTACTTACCTGGGCTAAATATTTTCAGATTGTTTATAATTGTTGTGTTAAAAAAAAATGTCAAACTCTTCTAAGCTTGTGTAGATGCAACAAATGAACTTCTCAAAATTTGTTGCCAATTAGCTAATGTTCACACAGTGCTTTGAATATATAAAATACTTTGGAAATTATAGGCATTTTTACATAGGACATAATTCACTGCAAAGATAACAAATGTTTTTACTCTGTGAACTGTGGTCACAATCTTCTGTAGAAGCTTTATATTATTTTGCAAGAAAAAGAAAGTTTGTCTGATTTACAGGACTACCTCTTGAATGCATTTCACTGTATCAAAAGTCTTTGAATCATGTAATTCCATTCACTATGAAAAAGGTAAGTCTAGAATACCAATTATATAGATATTCATCTATAAGTTTTACAGTCCCAGAGAATTTTGGTAGAAGTCAAGTAAGGTGTAGATAGTTTCAAATTTATCTTTTTTTTTAGCTTATTTTCAAGCAGAATTTACAATAAGAATTCCAGAAATTTATGAAAAAAAATATTTCAGTGAAATTCTGAAAGAAAATAAATTAATTCTAGTTTGTGAACTGGCTGCTTAGGTGGGCTAAGAAACAAGGTCCATTCTTGCTTCAATCCCTTGCTGCTCCGAGGTTTTTTCCTTCTTAGTTGGCTTCAAGTATGAAAACCTGGACTCAGTTTACAGATTCATGACTGGCTGTTTAGTGAGCTGAAATATACAGATATCTACTCACTATGTATGTATGTACGCCTACAAAGGACACTGCTGGGTCGTAATTCCAGCTACAATATAAATTCCAGGACTTTCTAAGTTAAGCTAGGATAAATTCTTATGCAGTTTTCTGGTGTGCTCAGTTGTTTCTGAGAAACGCACTATTTCTACTGCTTCTTCCTCCTCAGGGAGGATGCTCCTCACATTCTCAGCCTGCTCTAGTTTGGGGTCCATCCTATGGGTGATCAGTGTGGGTGCCCCACAGGGTCACAATTCCTGACAGAAAACCTGCTTCATCATGGGTTCCTCTCTACATGGGCAAGAACCTGCTCCACCTTCTCACAGGTTCACAGCTTTTCTTGGGCATCAACCTGCTCCACCATGGACCTCTGTGCACTGCAGGGAGTCAGCAGCCTCACCTCATAGACTGCAGAGGAATCTCTGTTCCAGCACATGGAGCACCTCCTTCTGCTTCTTCTCTGGACTTTAGGTCGGCAGTTGTTTCTCACTCCTGAGAGTCTGAGATGTGTTCTCACTCTTCTCTTGACTGCAACTGCTTTTTCATAGTACAATTTTCCCGCTTTTTAATGTTATTCCAGGAGTGCTGCTAACATCTCTGATGGGCAAGCTGATGGCCAGCAGTTGGTGTGTTCTGGAGGCAGTTGGCTCTGTTGAAAAACAGGGAAGCTTGTAGCAGAAGTCTCCCAGAAACTCGCACTGTCACCTCCCCCTGGTTCCGCCCCCCCCCCCCTTCCCCATCCACCATATAAAAATTCGCCACCCAATTTGTATAAAAGTTTGAACCTCCTGATATTCTGGCATGGTTGGAGGGGGGTTGGAAAGGGGTTCAGTGAAGTAGTTCTGGGAGCATTTGTGTCTTCCAAATGAAGCACAAGTTCGCAATTTTGATGTAACAAGGTATTGGCTTCAAACAGTAAAGGCTGCAGAAAGGTATATACTTCAAACCTTCTTATTCACCCTATGTTTGAAGTACTTTTGTGACTTCAATCTGGAGTATTCCATGGAACGTAAGAATAAGGCTTGAAGGAATCTCTAAGTTCTTTTGAATTTTATCTTCATTAAAACTAATGTTTAACCAAGGTCATTAGGAAACTTTTCACAGAAATGTGTTGTGGTTTTAAATACTTGTTAACTAATACACAGCCTCTGTATTTTTCTTTTTATGCCCTGAAGCATGTGTAAGAGATAGATTTGCTTCTTCTTCTTCTTCGTCTTCTTCTTCTTCTTCTTCTTCTTCTTCTTCTTCTTCTTCTTCTTCTTCTTTCTTCTTCTTCTTTCTTCTTCTTCTTAATAGTGTGATGTAATTGCTCCTGACCACATTTGTGTAATGCTCCTGGATGCATTCTTTGTGTCAACGTCTGGCAGGATGAATGCTTGCAGCAAGTATCACATGTCCACTGCTTTGTGTACCCTGTTTGGTATGATCATGTAGTTTACCCCACTCCTTTCATTGCATATTCAAGAAAGTGTGATGCTGGAATGTATGGATTTTGTCCTCAGTGTTTGACTCCTTCATGCATTTTAGTAAAACTACTACTAAGATTATTACTACAGCTGTGATTACTACCAAAGAGAGCTGATTTAGTAAAATGCAAAGCATGACTAAATAATTTAGTCATGGTATGTTGCATTGTTGGAAAATGGTAAGGAATTCCAGGTCCTCTTAATTTGTTATTTATTTTCGTTCTGCAGGATCTTAATTCAGCTATACTGTTTGAGAAGACAACTTCAGAAAACCAGACTATATATATGTACAAACAACTATACTTCAAAATATGAATATACAGAATTGTTTGCCATCAGTTGCAGAAGTGAATTAAAATTCACATTTGCCAAAATTCAATAATTTTCTTACATGAATGTGAGTTTTAAATCTGCAGAGCTGTCAGTCAAAACAATATAAAAACATAGACTTAATTTGTGAAGTCATAGTGCATGAAGACTAAATAACTTGGGGAATTATTTATCAATCAAGGAAAAATATGTCAAGCATAAATAATGGATGCAGATTTTTTATTTCTTCCATACAACATAAACCAAGTGTTCCCATTAATTAAGTCTATTGTTTGATGTAATCTGTTTTAAAAGGATATTTCTCCATTAAGGTGGAATGAAAGACATTCCAGCAAGTGAAAAGCAGTTAAAGGGTTCATGCCACTTCTGACAAACTTTTTCGATATCAAGCAGAAAATATTTCTATCATTTTGTTGCTGAGTATGGTTATGCTGCATAACTTCTTCCACTTAGAGGAACTCTTTTATATAGATATAAAATATATAATTTACTTAGAAGATTTTCTACATATAGCCCAGCCACAAAAATGAAGATTGAGCAGGAGTGACTCCAGCATGGATCTGGATCCAAGAACCAGTTTATGAGGTTAGAGAAGTGTAGCTCACAAATTTCAATAAGCTTATGCCAAGCTACACCAGCTGCAATGTTGAAAACCTAGGAATCCTCCCAGTGAAGTTTGAAAGCATTCCAAGTAAACAAAAATAGCAGAGTAGAGTATAAACAGTTACCTAAACATAACCCTAGATTTAACTAGGGCTTCTTTGAAAGAACAAAGCACTCAAATATAACTGTAGTACATTGTGTACATTTTATGCTGTGTTTATTACTGTTGATGTGCTCAAGGTGACTTTTTATTTTGAATGTCTTATACTTTGATCTTAATATCTGTTTTAATTGCATATTCAAATATTATAATTTTCTTAAGTGATTTTTTCTTTCTTTGTTCTTTTTTATCCTGATTATTTTAAAATGTGTTTTATTTTCTGATAAAAATAATCTTGAAAATATGAGTAGATAATTTCTCTTGATGCGAAATAAAGTTTTTCACCATCTAAAATTCTCTTTAAAATAATTTTAAGTGTGGGGTTTCTTTCAGCAGTGGGAAAAAAAGTATCATTATTTTTTTTCCATCTGTACTTCAAATTAATTAATAAGAGCTAACTTCATTTAGTTCAAACGTTTAAGAAAATTACTTCTCTTACCTTATGAGTAAGGTCATTAATAGTTTAATACTCACATTTTCTAGGTTATTTGTTTAATTCCTTTAAATTTTATATTTTTATTTTGTTATTCACAACATGGATGGTAATGTCAGAAGAGATGCATCCTAGGATAAATCTTAAAATAGAGTGGCTAATGTAAATAACTTGCTCAGCATACCTTAAGGTGAGCTATGAATATTACATGTATAGCAAGCTGTTGAACTGCATATAAGAAACTGAGAAATCAAGTAATACATTTCTAAGTAAAACAATCTGGAAACACTTGGGCATGGTAAGAATACCACCAGTTACAAAGCTGAATATTGGTCTGGCTTTTCAAATCATTGAACTCAGATAACTCTCTTTACAGAAAGAAAATGACAGTGACAGAAGTTTGGGATGCTCCTTCAGGGGATTTCTGTATCAGAGGCACCCATACAGTAATGAATCATTATGACAGCATCATAAACAATGACATCCTGAAACTTTGTCTGATTCACTGAAGCATTTGTTACAAATTTGAAAATTTCATAACCATGGGATACAAGCATAAGAAAATCTATGCATATACTGCTGTACAAGGAAAAAGTCTGCTCAGCAAAGCTGTTGAATTTTTTCATCGTTAAGTATGTGGCAAACCAAAGAGAAAAGTTCCTGAGGAAATAAAAATGTTTACATTACCTCATAGAGACACTAGGCCATCCTCCAAGTCTTACCAAGGAATTTTATAATAAATAACATGTATGGGACAACAAATATTAGAGTATGGTAAATAGATTTTAAGACATTTCATATGGCATGGCTATAAGAAAATTATAATTACATGTCTACTCAAAGAAGTACTTTTTTTCTGAATCCCAGAAATATTGTAGACAACATTCTCAAAAGCACCCAATTGTTTTTGTTATTGTCATCATGTATATCTAGTATTTTCCTTTGAGACTGAGTACTCGGACTTTTTTACTAAAGTATATGTTAAATGAAAGATATTCTGTTGGAAGTGATAACACCTTACAAATTCAAATTTAATGACTAAAACTATGTGTAGGAATAGTTCTTAGTTTCGTGTTGCACCTATTTTATTCTACTGAGAGTCAGAGACAAAATCCCATATTTTTAGTAGTTATATAATGATGTTCAGTTAAACATTATACAGAATTTAGCAGGATACTTGAGTTAGTTGGTGAAGGTTTCGATGACTATAACCAAAAGCTTTGATGGCTAAAAAATATTTTTAGAATAATTAATGAAAAAATACTTTTGGAAATACTGTTAACAGGGCTAAATTATTTTCTTGTATAGACTACTACAATGCCAACAAAAACCTACAGCAGGATTTATTTGGCTATGTGGACTAGGTGTTTGTGGCACCCTTGCTTCTGAAATCAGTTCAGCTTCTGAAATGCTCTTTTCACTTAATTTTGGAGTATTTTGAAACCACATTTACTTATTCAAATTGGAATTCCCTGATGAAATTTGGCATGTGGTAGAATATGAAGATTTCTGGTAGTATAACTCACTAAAGAAAGTCTTATGTAGACATAAATTATGTCAAAATAGCTGCAATTCCAGCTCAAGTAATGATGCAGTCTCAAACTGTCCAAGATGCATAGCATTTAGGATGCAATATTAGAAACTTTGCCCAAATAACCAATGTATCTGTTCAGGAAAAAAAAAAATCCAAACAAAAAAAACATATGACCAACCCAAACCTGTTTAGTTTCTCAGGGAGACTTATTAACGTCATGGTTGGCACAATTATCAAGAGACAGGAAAAAGCAATCTAGAACATTTCAGTTGTTATTTTTTGCTAAACCAGCCTCAAATTATAGCAAACAGCTAAAAGGCTTTTCTGTTGTCCTTACGGATATTCCCTGGGTCCCACAGCCATGTGGCTCTGTCACACAGTAGGGCAGTAACCAGATAATGAGGAGGATAAGGCTTTTCAGAAATCCATGTCAGCATGTGCTAAAATGGAGACCAGACACTGTAATTGATACTGCTCTATGTCTTACTGTATGTCGATTCCTTCTAATTGTTTTCCAGTATTGTCTTAGAAAAGTGGATATGATTACCTCAGTATTTTCACTGTTACAAAACACATAAAATAGACCTGGAAAGGAACTTGAGGTATTATGTAATTGAATTCTGTGCCCTAGGACATAACAACTGCAGACAAGGTATTCCTAACTTAATTTATCTGTTTTTAAGAAGATGTCAATTATATGACGCTAAAAGCTCCTCGGATAATGTATTACAAAGCCTAATTACCCTTAACAATAGATAAAACCTTATCTTTCTTTACGTCTAACTTAAATATCCCTCCTTGCAAATTAAGCCCATTACTTTTGGGCCAATTGAATAAAGAACAATTAATAGTCTTCCTTTTTCCAATAGCTTTTTATTTACGTGAAAGCTGTTACCTCATCTCAAGGTCTTTACATTTTCCTGAACACAGAAGTAATGTAAGAAAATAGAGCTTTGGGGCACATTAAAAAATAAATTGTTGAGCAAGTGGTGAAGATATTTTGGAGAAAGAAGTAAATTTTATACGCATTTATATGTTTGATTGAATAGTTTCTTGGTATGAAGAGTTAGTAGGTCAAAAATCATATATACACATTTATATGTCAAGGCAGATTCTGCTGTATTTTTTTAAGTTACTGAATATATTATAGAGTCTATTTGTAGAAATCTTCTATCAGATTGAAGTAATTTGTGATGATGAAAGCATATACTGGTTGATTTTATCATAGTTGCATTATTAGTTGTATTTCATATAAGGGAGACTAAGTTCAAAAAAGTTGAGAGAGAGACAGGTTAAAAGGAAGGATTTTGTTCTATTGGACAGATGAGAATAATTCTTAGAACACAAATAAAGGTAGGTTTGAATCTTCCAGTATTAAAACATGTTGTCAGCAACATTCTGTTTTTAAAAACCTTTTACTTGAAAAAAAAAATCTTAGTTTACAAGGAACATTTTTAAATGCTTAAAATATTTTTTAAATAGAAATTTTTAAAAACCCCAACAAAATCAATAACAACCACAACAACCACAACAACAGGAACAAAATCAAACTAAGTACGCACTCCTTTGAAGTTCTTATATTTTTGATTGCTCACAACTGAGTTTAGTAGGTGTCATTACCAAAAAAAAAAAAAAAAGGAGACGAAATATAGATGATAAAAAACCTTTTACCTGATTGAATAGTAGAAAATTTAGCTCAAAGACAATAAAAGATCAGCATGATGTGAACATTCTTGGGCTTACTGTTGTGTGCAGTTGAAGGCATGACTGAACTTCATTACAGATGGTACTTTTTGAATTGTTCTTTTCCAGTTTATTTATCTTTTTTGTCTATTTAGTGGAACTTCAGTGCTTCCTGACGTGTAACTTCATTGACTATGAATGTAGAAAGAAACAGTGTTTCTGAGCTAAAAATGATGGATCTTCTAAGCAGCTGAACTTCTGCGAAGGACACACAAGTTTCTCTTTGCTGAAATCACATCCGAGTTTGACCTGAAGACTTTTCATCCACAGAAAAAATGCTTTCATTTGATCTGCAGGTTGTTACAACTCCCTATCTTAACAAAGAAGAGCTATGTGTGAGGTACGTGTTAAGACATGAAACTGCAATTCAAAGGAATTCTGAGTACGAATCCCACAGCACTGTGGCAGCGCTTAAAGCCTCTGTTCTAGAAAAGGGGAAATGGTAGGATTTGTGACTTCCTTTGAACCATGATCTAAAGCAAAATATGTTGGCTCTCTCAAGAGTTTTCATTCTCCTATAGTTGGAGGAATTGATGGTTATAAATAGTCAGTGAGGACAGAAAGTGTGGTCAGAGCACACTCATCAAGGAAATATACACAATGGTATTTGTATTCCTGGTCCTGATACCAAGTAAAAAGTGAAAAAATATCACATGGGAAGCATTTATTTATTTATTTATTGTACTGTTTCCAGACTTAATGCATAAATCAGTGAGCCAGGCACATGAATAAGGGATAGAAATCATTAAAGGTGTGATTATAATCAGACCGGGAATAGTGAAAACTCTATGTGGTACTTCATACCGGCTTGCCTTCAAAGGCATCCCTATCAACTTTCCTTCTGTTTGATGAATCTACTGCTGAGCCTGTGTTTCTTACTTGCAATTTCAGTTTTCTTTCATTCATGATCTGTGCACGGTTAGCAGCTGAGTGGAAGAGGTATTAAGCATGTACTAACTTCCTCTTCCTCATATGTCTTGCTCTTAGGTACAATCCTTAAAAAAAAAAAAAGTGTCTTATCACCTAAATTGTGATCAATTACAGGAAGCCTTTGTTTTGTCATTTAGTACAGGAAATAATTGATTTAGTCTCGTCTTCAAGCACAATATAATTATTAAACCAGAACAAGTGAAGGGCAAACAAATGCAGGACTTATAAAAATCACTGTGTAAATGTAATAAGTGTTTTCTTTATATTTGTAACTTTGAAGTTATTTCAATTTCTGGTCACCCACAAGTTTATCAGAACCAGGACAGAAGTAAATGGGCTATGAAATTTTGAAAGGTTAAGAGTCAGGCATACTACGTGTTTTTTGTTTCATCTAATTCCAGTGCAATGCAATGTGATCCTCAGATCAAGGGAGCACAAAGTTATGCACACAGATGTTTTTCACTGATGGCTGTGAAACTTTTCATGGCACTTGCCTGGATGGGAAATAACCATGATACGTG